AACAACAACACACAACCCTGGAACGACAGTGTTCTGTTGGTAGATACAGGGGTGATACATAGGCTGAATGGGCATGGGAGGGAGAGTGGGATATATACATGTCCCACAAAAATATGAGTTTGAAAGAGGATATGGGTACTTGCTGAAAACACACCTTTGATATGGTGGAGCAAATGGTGGGCAAAATGATAAAAAATTATTAGATATTATCCAACATCTAAAACAATGACTTTCTGGGCATGGGGACTCAGGACCATAGTCTCAGGGGACACCATGGCCAATTGGCATAACGGAGTCCACAAAAACTATGTTCTACATCCTACTTTGGTGAGTAGTGTCTGGGATCTTAATAGCTCATTAGTGGCCATCTGAGGTGCACCTATTGTTCTCTCCACGTGTAGAAGAAAGAAGACATGAAAAATGAACATGCTTGGAATCAACTATTCTATTAGACCAATGGATCAGGTGAACATCAGTTATCACAATTCTGAGACCAGAGGACCTAGATGGCGCCTGGCTACCACTATCCACTGCTCTGAATGTGATCACATTCGAAGGTCTCAGATAGAGTGGGAGAAAATGAGGAACAAAACTCAAAATTACAAAACAAGACCAGGCTTACTGGTCAGAAAGAGACTGGAGTAAGCTGAGACTATGGCCCTAGATACCCTTCTGGGATGGAAAGGAACTCACCCTCATTGCCCAGTTTTCAGCCAAGCACTAGATAGGTATATAGGGGAACAGCAACCCTAGTAAGGCATGGTCAATTCATGTAAAATTAAAAGGGCAACATTTACCTGAGGACAAAGTTGAGAAGGGATGGGAAGGTGGAATGGAAATAGGAAGGAACCACAGGGAGGAGTGGGGTGACTGTTACTGCAGGGAGGGGATTGCAATCATTGAACTGAAACAAATGTGTGCTTTGTTGAATGTAAAACTGATGATATTCTGTAAACCTTCACTTACTTCACAAAGAAACATTTAAATAAAATTGTATTTAAGCCACCTGGTAGTGTAGCGATTATGAGTTGGTCTGCTAACCTGAAGGTCAACAGTTCGAAAACAGTTATTTCGCAAAAGAAAGATGAGGCTTTCTACTCCTGTAAGGATTTATAGTCTCGGAAATCCTATGCAGGGTCGCTATGAGTTGGAATTGACTCCACGGCACGCCACCACTATCTCCACCATTAACAGGTTACTTTAAATAATACGAAACCAACTAACACTCACCTTGTCATCTAGAAATTTATAATGCGGTAAACAAACAAGTAAAGCCAAATCAGTTGTTGTGGAGTCAGTTCCAACTCACAGCAACCCTACAGGACACAAGAAAAACCTTCTAAGGTTTCCAAGGCTGTAGATTGACTGGTGGGTTCCAACCACCAACCTGCCAGCACTTAACCATTACACCACCTGGGTTCACTTCTTTAGCAGAGATTGAATAAGTACGAAAATTACTAATGCAGAGCGAGATAAGAATGAGTTCAAAGGATGGGAGTTATGACTGTGTCAGATTGTATTTTCCAAAAAAGGCCACAATATTGAATTCCATATGCTTTTCCAAAAGCTTACCACACCCCAAACTATTATCAGGAGTGCTAATCGAATCTCTGCCTTACAAGAGAGGCTCTTGCCTTCTACTGATTAAGAATAGTCTAGTGAGGCAGAGTTTCCATAGGAGCAAATGTTTATTGTAGGAGAGAGGCTTGCAAGCAATGTTTAACCTTGTCTTTCTGAACAAAGGCTTTGTTGGGGTTTAAAACAGTTTGGCTGGGAAAAAGTCACTGTGTTTATTTATAGAAATTATGCAGGATTTTCCAGGAAATTTAGGAGGGGCCATGATCATTGGGTAGGTGTCCAGCACTTCTTCAGGATGGATTCCGGCACCAAGGCTTCTCGTTGTTGTTAAGTGCTGTCGAGTTGACTTTGCCTCATAGCAACTTTGTATAGGGTTTCTGAGGAGTGGCTGGTGAGTTTGAACTGCTGAACTTGCAATTCAAACCTACTGTGCAGTCCAGTGCTTATCCTACTCTACTCTGGTGGTGGTTATGTGCCGTGGAGTCCGTTCCGTCTCATAGAGACCCTAGACAGGGTTTCTGAGGCTGTAAATCTTTACGGGAGCAGAAAGCCTCATCTTTCTCCCGCGGACCAGCTGGTAGTTTCGAACTGCTGACCTTGAGGTTCACAGCCCAATTCGTAACCACTACGCTACCAGAGCTCCTTAGGACTCTGGTAGGAGCAAACAAAACTTATTCTAGGATGTTGAGCATGCGTGGTTATTTGTGAACCTGGTACAAACCTATCCCAGGGGCTGGCATTTTTCTTTGCCCCAGTAGTAGGTTTGTCCTTTAAAGTGATGCCTAGAGTTCTGGGTAAACCAGTCAGAATTGTAAAATAGCTTATAAGGAAGTAGAAATACAGATTTTTATAAATGGTCTTCCTTAATGGCATGTGACTGCTCAGTGGCCTGGGCATGTCCTGCACATCTTTACAAGGAGAGGTACACGCTTTAGTGTTCTTCAAGATATGTCACAAGATCTCAGTCAGTAACTGTTCATATTTACTCCTGATTTCTGGACCTTCTTTGCCTCATCTCACCACAGGTGAGTATAGTTCTCATCCCTTTCAAATTAAGCAGGCTTCATGGCTGCTTCTATAAATACAATGCAGTGAAAGTAACATTGGGTCATTTTCAAGGACACCTTTAGGCAGTCAGCTAACATGTTGTAAGTAATCTTGTTTTAAAGTGTTCAAGAGGAGTTCTATAACTAAGGTGGTAACAACCAGCATCAAATGACAGATGTGAGTAATCAGAGACCAGCTGATTCAAGCAGCACCCGCCCGGCCCCTTTGCATCCCCTAACCTTGGGGCTACCCAGCTGACTCCAAGTGGAACTCAGACCTGTGCAAACCTGGCCTAAATTGCCCCTCTTTTAGATTTATATGTGCATATTTTGCTCCTTTTGTTGGAAAAAGATCTAAGCATTACAACAGATCACTGAATTTGACGATTATAGATCATTAGTTGCCTGTTAGAAATGAAAGGGTTTAAAATGTATGAAGTTTGAGTCTATTATGTATCAGTTTGTTGGCTTTTCCTCCTCTAACACCCATAGGTATTACCCTTACTTTATACCTATATAGGTCAGAGGTTAATTATGCAAAACTACACAACCATTAAACAATAGAGGAATTAAAATATGGAGCTGATTTCTAAGATTCTACTTTCCCTTACACCACGTACTGTCCAGGAGGGGGATGCACAGAGACTGATGTCTATGGCGTGGAGTCCTGGTGTGGTACTGTAGGACAAAGCACTGGACGGCAAAGGTCGGTTTGAACCACAAAGTTGGCAGTTCAAACTCACCAGCCACGCCTCCGAAACCCTATACAGGGTCGCTATGAGTCGGAACCGACTCGACGGCACTTAACAACAACGTGTCTATGGCAGTGTTAGATAGAAATCAGTGACTGCAGGACCGTTCAACAGGAAGCATAAAATCCTGATCTCAGTATTTTGGAGAAAATGTAGGCGGATTTATCTGATATAGTTCATAAGCTATTAACTATAGCAATGTATAAGACAAACACACAGGAAATTCGAAAAGGTATAAAGATGGAAGCAAATTAAAAGGTCAGTACGGTCACGTTGGCTCTTGGCGGTGACTCTGCACCGGACCTCGGAATGGAGCTTGCGGCCCATCGCTGCTCCAGAGGTCAAGACTGCCCCTGCGGCAGCCGCATTAGTCCAGGAGCCAGGTAGCACTGGGATCGCTGTGAGAGAAAACAGCTAGTTCTTGACACTGAGCTGTGAAACGTGCCTCAAGAAATTAGAATCCTGGGTCACCGTGGACTGTTAAGAAGACCGAGACCTTCTGGGGTTCCAAACTTCCCCGCGTGACTGAAACAGGAATGGCAATCCCAGCCACAAGCATCAGTACGCATTTAGAGGGCCTGGGCAGGTAGCCCCTAGGCGCTGCAGAGGTGGAAGCGAGGCGGCAACCCTGGGCCCGCCTCCGTTGCTGCGCCGGCGGTGACCATGGTAATGGAGAGGACGTCGGTCTAGGCATCCGCTGCCAACCGCTGAGCCTGGGTTTAGGGGCGGGCCAAGATGGGGCAGTCGTGCGGGTCACGTGACGCTAGGCGGAGTCAGTGCGAAGCCGGCGGAGAGAGTCTGGGAACCGGCGCTAAGGCCCTAGCGGCAGGACTCGAAAGAAGGGAGCGCCGAGGCCTCTGTTCCCCGCCGGCGTTCCCCAGCCGCCGCCATGGGGAGTAAGTAGCGCGGGTGGAGCCGGAGCCCGAGGGTGTGTTCGTGTGTGTATGGGAGCGGGGTTATCTTCTGGGGCGCGGATCCCAGCAGCGGAGGGCGGGTGGGAGCCGGCACCCGCTGGTGGTGCCCAGCCCGCGGGCCGGGGATGCGCGGCCGCCGGGACCACTGCGCCAGGGGGCGGGGCCGGGGCCTCCCCGGAGACTCTTCCAGTGGTGCGAGGCCTTGGCCGCACGCCTTCGGGGACCGTGACCTCAATATAGGTGGCGAGGAGCGGAAGATAGTGCCGGGAGGCCATTGGTTTTGGGGGCGGGGAGTTTAGGAAATCGGGCTAAACCTTGACCCCCTGTAATTTTTAGCACCTTATTTGGAAGCTTTTAAGCGAGTGTTTTTATTAACTAATCACCCTTTCTTTTCTTGCTAGTTGTGATGAATAAAGCTTCTTGACTAGTTTAATTGAAAAAATAAAGTAATTCAAGAGATATATGGTAAAGAGAGAAAGGAGTGCGATAGATAGCTTAGAATTTTTCTTTAAATTTTAATTTCAGTTATTTTTTTCGTGTTTACTGGGAAGGTTGTGTAAGCCTTAGGAATAGGACCTTGAATTATGGGGATCTTCTGAGGCCCCTCCCCCAAACACTTAACTCTCTACTTACATAGCTGTTTAGATGTTAGCTGGATGGATGGGAAACTGTGCATTCATGCACTCCACCCATTGGCCAGCTGTTGGACATTTGTTGTTAAATGTGCAGTCGAACATCTGGGGAAAGTTAAAAAGGAAGTAGAGGAGACCCTGGCTTTGAATTTGCAGTATGTTGGGTAAAATTCTGCAACAAGAATAGGCAAGTGGCAAACAAAATCATTGCTTGAACGTGAGTGACTCAAATCTAGAAACTTTGGAGAGTGGTTTGGATAGAGGTGGGAAGGAAAGGGACTCTGGAAAGTTTCCTGATGTGAATGATACTTGTTTTACACTAGAGAGTAATGCTTTAGTAATTCAGAGGTACAGATTTGCTTTCCAAATAACTGGTGAGTATTGCTGAATTCTTCTGTTAAACATCAGTGACTGCCATCACTTAGAGAGGTTTTCAAAAAAGCTAAGGAGTTCTGGCTGCTAACAAAAAGACCTGTGGTTTGAACTCATCAGCCAGTCTGCTGGAGATATATATGTGGCTGTGTATTTTTGTAAACACTACAGTTTTGCAGTCCCTATGGGGCAGTTCTATTCTTCCTGTGGGGTCACTGTGAGTTGGAATTGATTTCATCGGATTTGGTTTATGCTTTTGTAAGAACATAGTATATTTCAGCTAACTGTGGAACTGTAATTAGTCATGCCAGTTTTAAAACAATGTCAAGATGTTAGTAAACAAAACCCAGTGCCTATAGGGGAAGATGATTTTATTTAATCTCTAGCTGGGGAGCCTTGTGTTTTTCTGTATTACAGACTCCTGGCAAAGGATTTGCATTTGAGAGATTATCTTCTTCATCCTCCAGTTTTGTGGCAGAATTTGATTTTAACCATGCCATAAGATAGTCGTCTAACCTGTTCTTAAAGAACTTGATTATCTTTTATACATGGAGACTTCAAAAAGTCAGTGGAAAATGCAATGAAAAGATAATAGACTTTTACCACCACCAACCTTTTGAAGCCTTCCCCCCACCCCCTTGTACTAGAAGAGTTGTATGCAAAAACAGTACTTTGTAATGAAATGTGTTTGTTTTTTGGACTGAGTAACTTTGAGGTTATTAAGTGGGAGAACTACCAAGCAATTAAAATGTGATTTCATTAAATGAAGTAGAGATTGTTTACAAGGTTATCTATTAAAAATGACTTTCTCCTTAAACATATCTGTATCTTTTGGTTGTTTATGTTGTTTCTGCAGCTTAAGTTCATTTCCGGTTGTATTTTTCAGTGAAGAATGGCATTCTCCTTTATTCCTCCTTTGATATCCTTGTTTTTTTATAATGCATTGTCATCTGGGTTCATTGCAGTCCAGTTGTGTTCCATCAGTTACAGCAGAGTGAGTAGGTCCTGTAGTAGGCACTGTTTACTCTTTTTTGACTTAATGGTGATGCTCTTTGAATAGTTGATTTACACACATGTGCAGGCTGGATAAAGCATGGGGATGCAAAAACCTAGTAAATGGATAGTTAATTATTCATTATTTTGCTTCTACTGACTGATCCTCAAACCTTTTAGATTCTTTTCTCCCTTAGGTATTTTTTTGAAATGGAGAGTCTTTTTTCCCTTAGGTATTTATTTGAAATGGAGAGTCTTAGAGTTCATTCATTTTTGGGAGTGGGGTGGTGTTAGGATGAGGTTGATGGCCCTTAAAAGTGGAGAGCTTTTTTTTTTTTTAAAGTATTTGTTTTAAAAAGATAACATCTCACTTTTTAAAACTTAGTAATAAGATCATTTATTCTATTTTATTTTCAACAGTCAAATTTTTAGAAGTTATCAAGCCTTTCTGTGCAGTGTTACCAGAAATTCAGAAACCTGAAAGGAAAGTAAGTATAATAATTTAGTTATGTAATTACTGTTGTGTGTCGTTGTAGCGACCCTGTGTAGGGTTTTTGAGGGTTTCAACTACTCACCTTGTGGTTAGCAGTGCAGTGGTATCCTACCGCGCTACACCAGGTATCTAGTAATGTTGTTGTTGTTAAGTGCTGTTGGATCGGTTCTGACTCATGGCAACCTTGTATAGCAAGGGTGGGGAACGTCTGGCCTTTGGACGATGATGTTGTTAAGTGCCATCAAGTTGGTTCCAACCCATAGCAACTGCATATAGGGTTTGTGAGGAGCAGTTGCTGAGCTTGAACTGCCGACCTTGCGGTTCAAATTCACCTTGAAGTCCAGTGTATTAACTAACCCTCAGCGCCACACCAGGACTCTTAGGGCAGTGTAAAGCCTGTGGGCAGTTCCAGGTATCACATTGTTGCTGTTAAGTGTCATTGAGTCTGCTGTGACTCAGTGACTCTATAGGGTTTCCGAGGAGCAGCTGGTAGATTTGAACTGCCGACCTTGTGATTCGCAGCGCTAAGCCATCACGTCGTTGTTATTAAGTGCCAGAGTCGGTTCCAACTCATAGCAATCTTATATAGGGTTTCCGAGGAGCGGCTGGTGGGTTTGAACCGCTGACCTTGAGGTTCAAATTGACCTTGCGGTCCAGTGCAGTAACCTACAGCAACACACAAGGATTCTGAGCCATCACACTGTTGTCGAGTCGGTTCCGACCCATAGTGACCTTGTATAGGGTTTCTCAGCAGCTGGTGAGCTTGAACTACCAACCTTGCAGTTCAAACAGCTTTTCAGTCTGGTGCATTAACCCACAAGGCCACACCAGGATTCCAGAGCCATCACATTAGGGGTGAGTTAATTAAATGTTTGACCAAATATAGCAGGCTAATTTTAAATTGATAATTTTGTATGACCCAGGAATGCTGTTATAAATTTTGGCAGGAAAAAAAAAAATTCCCCACTCCTGCTGTATATAGTTTCTGAAGCTTTAAAATCTTTACTGGAGCAGAAAGCCTCATCCTTCCCCCATGGAGCGACTGGTAGACTTGATCTGCAGACCTTGTAGTTCGCAGACAAGTGCTTACCATATGGAGCCACTGTGTTCCCCTTAGTAATACAGTAGGTAGTTTAATGATATATCTAGCTAAAAAAACCAAGGTTTACTCCACCTAACCCTTCTTTATTTTTGGAGTCCTGGTGTGATGCTGTAGGATAAGCACTACTAACCACAAGGTTGGCTGTTCAAACCTACCAGCTGTTCCTCGGAAACCCTGTATAAGGTCACTAAGAGTTGGAACCAACTCGATGACACTTAACAGCAACAGCAACAACCTTTTTAAAAAAATAATAATTGGAAATATACTACCTGTTCATCCTTTTTAACAAGAAACACAACAGAGTGAAGCTAGCATGTTGTCAAGTGCCATCAAAGGTAGTGTGGTGGTGGTGGTGTGCAGTGGAGTTGGTTCCAACTCATAGCGACCCTGTACAAGGTTTCCGAGGCTGTAAATCTTTACTGGAGCAGAAAAGCTGGTAGTTTCAAACTGTTGACCTTAAGGTTAGCATCCCAATTTGTAACCACTACACTACCAGAGCTAGTATGTTATTATTGTTGTTAAGTGCTACTGAGCCAGTTCCAACCCATAGTGACCCTTTATAGGGTTTCCAAGGAGCAGCTGGTGAGCTAGAATCACCGACCTTGCAGTTAAAATGGCTTTGCCATCTGGCGCATTAATCCATAACGCCACACCAGGGCTTATAAACCTGCTAAAGTGTAAATAGGTTATCTCCTAGTTTCATAATGCCTGTTTTTAAAATTGTAACATTTCCAAAACAAATCATTGTATCTGTTAGTGACGAGATAGTCTATAGTGATTTTCTATGATTTCTGTAGTATAGGGCGCATTGTACTTGCTAATGGTGAGACCCTCTGAACTATGAATGGCCCCGTCTGTTAGATAGATTTTGATGACTACAACTGTTTTAAATAAATGAATTGCAGTTGTGCAAGTATGTACCTCTCATTTCTTGATTCACTTACTGAAAAGAAAAACCATGTGAATGCTTTCAGAAGATACTGTGACTAGGTCAAATAATTCTTCCATTATTGTGGAGCTGAAGTATTTAAATTTAAAGAATATTGTTAATTCAAAATTAATCTAGTTGATTCCCAAATATTCTTTTTCTACAGTACTTTTGATTTCTCAGATACTAACAGAAATAGAGACATAGAAAAAGGTTGATAGGGATGGGCAGTATAGACATTGGCTACCTGAAATGAGCAGGCTCATAAAGGCAAGAAGCGACTGGCTTACAAGTTTTCAAGAGGGAGTTTAGTTTCAGAGTGTGCAGGGGAAGGTAGAATCACCACTGAATAATTTTTATCTTGTCTAGATGGGTCTGGTGAAAGGAGAAGGGGATAGGATTCTTATGATACAGTAGTGAGTAGTTGTTATCATGACTAATTGCAACTGTCATAACTGTAATGATAGAAGTTTTATAACACAAAGGGGACAGTTGTTCATCTTAATAGTCTAGCAACAGAGGACCCTAGGACCATCGAGGGAGAAGAGCATGAGCGAAATATGGGACCGTATCCAGAGAAGCAGCGACACCAGAGATGGAGGCAGAGATGATGACATGGAGAGATAAGAGCAACTGAGGTCTCTAGACTCATAGAAAGAGAAAGGTTGTGTGCTTGTGGCCAGGAGGCAGGCTTGCAGAATATGCCCTTAGGTTGTTTAAAAGATATATTCCTGAGTGTTGTTGTGTACATCGCCCCCCCCCCCAAAAAAAAAAAAAAGAAAAATGGAATAGAAGCAAATACTGTTGAATGATGATGCATGAAGGAGATTGTAATCATTGCAGTGAAATGATGAGTACAAAACAATTCCTCCCATATAAGCTATCACTCAATTTGTAGTAAAAACTTAAAAACAAAAAAATTAAGTATGAGGGGACATCAAAAAAATTGTGGAAATTTTCCTTTTTTTTAAGGTTTTTATTGTGGATTGAGTGAAAGTTTATAGGGCAGATCATCAGTTTTACATTCAACAAATCATACACCTTGTTTCATTTCAATGATTATAATCCCCTCCATGTACTATCAGTTTTACAGTATTTCTCTTTATTCACTTTAGCTTATTTTAAAAAAACAACAAAAAAACACTCAAGCATATATAATAATTTACACCTCCAAAGGGCACATTCTGCAAGTCTGCCGTCTGGCCACAAGCTCTTAGTCCCTCTCTTCCAATGAATCTAGAGTCCTCAGCTGCTCTTCTTCTCTATGACCCCATCTCTGCCTCCGTCTCTGGCGTTGCTGCTTCTCTGGATGAAGTCCCGCATTCTGCTTGTGCTCTTCTCCCTTGATGTCCTAGGGTTCTCTGTTTCTGGACTGTAAAATTAACCACTCTCCTGTTTTTGTTAAAAAACTTCTACTTTTACAATTGTGACAGTTGTAATTAGTCATAACAGTTATTCATTATTGAATCATACGAGTCTTAATCCCCATCTATTTCCCCAGACCTATCGAGGCAAGATGAAAACTATTCAGTGGAGTCTCTTTCTCCCCCGCATACTCTTAAACTGAACTCCCTCTTGAAACCTTGTAAGCCAGTCACTTCATGCCTTTATCGTCCGTCCCCTCATTTTAGGTAGCCAGTGTTTACGTTGCCCGTCCCTATCTACTTGTGTACAGAGGAGATAGCACTAATACTTGATGTGAAGACTCCTTCCCTCTTTGTTGGTATGTAGAGTTACTACTTCCACTCCATGAGTATACATCAGGTTCATCAAATTGTAGCAATTTGCCTTTACCCTTGTTTCCTTTATGAAAAAAAAAATTATTACTATTTTTTTTTGTAATCTTCCCTCTAGTTGAGTTCTGATTATCAAGCTAGGTCAAATGGATACTGTCTGCAAGTTTGGGTGTTCTTGTGCATATCCCCTTGGTTCATATCAGCTGGATGCTTCACTCTCAGCTTTAGCCCTCTGTTGCTATGTCTTTGTCCATGGGCTCAAGTGTACCCAGGTCTCACCACACTTTGGACCAACCAGCCCTTCCTCTTCTCTCTCTCATCTCCAGGTCAACGGGAGTCTATGGAACGTGGTTGAACTCAGCCCATTTCTTCATTGCTGCCTTTCCCCCTCTTCCACTCATCAGTAGACCAATTTGGTCGCCAGCAAGTTTACGTGCCTGTTTGTGTGTTCCCTTTGAGTTTCAGTCTTAGAGGGGAGTTTGTGATGAAGGAACTTGATTGCTTGCCATGATGGCTTCCCAGCGAACAGCTTGCTTATTCTTGTAGTAGCCAGTCATGCTGACATTTTTGTTTTGAGTTTTTCCTGATGATCTTTCTTAGAAGATGAATCTTCTGTTGCTCTAGCTGTTTCGCTGGTCTTCTTGTCCTTGCTACTGGGAATGCCCCATGTCATAAGGTTCTGGATGGGACTCAGGATTCCACCTAAGATCCTATACTCTGCAGAGGCTTTGCAAGAGGTCTACTTCACTGGGCAAGTTCTAGAACCCTTATTAGGTATTCCAATCAGTTATAGGCTGAAGACAGGCTTACAAGTTTTTTGTAATCATGTTTCCCAACATTCCTTTCTACCCCACTCAAGTGTCTATAATAGTTGGCAAGGGAAACCAATATTCATAAGATAGTTAAGCATTTTAGTATTATTTTCCCTTTTTAAACTATGCCTAGAAGACTCATTAACAACCCACGATATGCAGATGATACAACTTTGCTTGCTAAAAGCGAAGAGGACTTAAAACATTTACTG